TATAAACAAACTTGCAATGCAGTGTGCAGTGTGGAATTGCGGAAATGAACTCAAAAACAAAGAGGCTAAAAAAAGTTTTTTCGCTTTCCCCAAGGACGAGAAGCTGTGTGAAAAGTGGCTGAAGTTTTGCAGGCGTCCCGTAGGTTTTAAGCCGAAGTCATGGAAAATATGCAGTGACCATTTTAAAAAGGAAGATATCGTTGGAAGTTTAGCTTTTGAAATGGGTAAGAATACACACTTTATTATTTTATTTCAATGTTTTTTTTAATAATGGAATAATAAAGGACTCCGGGACAAAAGATGTTTGGCGCCTGGTGCTGTGCCCTGTATATACACCAATATATCGCCCATCGGTGAGGAAGAACTAAAAAACTTGCAGAATAATGAACGTAAAAGAGCAGTTGGATATACAAGTAAACAAGTAATTACCCTAACAAGAACAGAAGAGAACTCTACGATGATAATTTCCACGAGACCAGGTCTCACAATAAGAAAAGTAGTACCAAATGCATCAATACCAGTCAGCACAAACGCAATCTTCACCGATGTACGGTTTGCTGTCGATGAGTTGAACGAAGCAGCGCCCTTGACGGAGATTAAATCGTTACAAAATCAAATGCAAGTTCATATTTTTATGTGTTTTTATTTGCCTTATAACATCAATAATTACAGTTTTTATTTGTGCTTAAGGCCAGCTTTTATTTTCAGTTTTCCAAACTTTTCATGTTTCATGACGTAAATATATTTACAGTCAAAAATTAGAGCGAGAGAACTTTGAACTACTGCAGTGGATACGACGCGATGAATTAAAACATCAGCATGAAAAATACGTATTACAGCAAAAAATCGCAAAAATGGAGTTGGAAAAGAAAAATATGGAGGAAAAGCTGTTAGGACTATCGCCTGCAGAGCACATTAAAACAGAAATTATACCAGGAATAATCCCTGAAGCGCTAATAAAAATGGAAATAGTTAACGAGAGCTCAAAAGAAAATATTGAGAATATTATGCAGCAAAAATTAGCACAAGAAACAGGAGAGGAGCAGATACTAGGCATACTTCCCGAAGAGCAAATAAAAACGGAGGTTATTGACGAAAATTTAGAAGGAGATTTGGAAAAAGACTTAATTTCATTTCATTTATTGCGAAACTATTAGTACAATGCAGTCTTTGATCTTTTATTGAAAAACAAATAAAAGGTAAAAGCAGAAAGTAAAATAAGGGAATAATTGTTACTAAAGCTTAAATAAAGCTTATAATAATAAAGTCCAGACAACTAAATACAGTGGTTATACATATTAAGACGGCGAAACTCATAATTATACAACAATTATTTATTTTATCGTGGTGGTGGCTGCTGTTTTGTAGTGGTAAGCAGTGCGCGCTTCCACTCCGCAGGGCCTGGGTCAAGTAACATCGCAAAAACATATAGAAAACAAGGTTTGTTTCTCCCTCGGTCTCCCCTCGACAGACAATCGCAAACCTCCGAGTGTATTTCTGACATGAAAAACAGCTTGTCATAAAAATACACTCGCCGCTCGGAGTCGGCGAAAAATTGTAGGTGCGCCTTTGTGTGACATCAAGAGAAGCTCGGCCAGACACTAATATCCATATGTGTAAGCGCCAATCTATTACATCATACATATATTTTAACATATTTTTACGAAAGTACGTATATAGAATCTTAAATATGCGAAATGCACCAAAAATTACACTGCCCAATAAAATTCTGTTGCCTAAAATATTACAGCGAATTCTTATAGGATTATTTCCATAGAATCCGAATCTGACCTTCAAGATATTGGATTGGATCGAGTTTTCAATCAACTTAGGTTAAACGGTGTCGAAAATGCGTTTCTGTAAAACAATAAATTGATGCAATATATCTGTCTGTGTGAAAAGATATGAAAGCTTCAACACTGCCCTTTAATACTGAAGATCAAAACATTATGATCCGAACACTGTAAGAAATTGAAGAGTTTTTTATTCAGGCGCGCACGATTTTTTTTAAGGAAAAATCTTGTTTTGCTTGTTTTTGATGAATGTACACAAATTTTATGTTCACTAAAATGTTATAGCCAATTCTTAAAGGATTTTTTCCGCATATTATCTTGAAAGTTTTTAATTGGCTGTAGTTTTTTAGCAATTCGGGTTAAAAGTGCCGAAAAACGGCATTTTCGCCATTTGTTATATGCAACGTCAAGCAATATTATTACTATTATTTAGTAATTTTCAGCGCCTCATACCCATTAAAAACAATTGAAAAACCCGGGCAAAACTAGATTTTTTTTATGGAAAAAAATCGTACGAGCTTGCATAAAAAAGCTTTTCCCAATTGCTTATAGTGTACGGACCCGCGGTGCAGCGAACAAAGGTGGCGCCGTCAGTGGTACCGCTACTTTGGTTTTTCCGATTTTGACAGTTGTGGTAACTTGTAAATAAACCTTTGTTTACAAATCAACGAAAGAGAAATTTGAATTATAAGTGAAAAATCAGTTTAAATCGTATTAATTTGCAATTTATGAGTGATTTTTAAGTTGAAGACTGCGTAAAAACTAATACAATGAAGTGCTGTGTGTTAAATTGCGACAACCGTAAAGATGCAAGAAGCGTAGATGCAAGTGTAGCGCTGGGACGAATCGCTGCATTTTGTGTACATAAGGCAAGGCAAAGCCGTTCCCGAAATGTTTCTCTATTATTATATTAACAGCATTTCCTCACAATGATTTTGTTTCTGCTCCACGCAGCCTCCATTAGCAAGTTAACTAATCAGTCCCGCAGAGATGCTGCTGCAGTTTTCTGCAGCTGCCTTAATTGCAAAGCAATGGAGTGCACTAAAACGTTTGCTGAAGCAGCCTCAATTGCAAAGCAATGGAGTGCACTACAATGTTCACTGTTCTCTAATAAATTAGGTGTAAAATGCAATATTTTCGCATTTAGCAAAATTAAAACACGTTTTTCGCAGTAAAGTGAACTGCTTTGGCTGTTTCTACTCGTTCTTCTTTTCGCTCTATTCTTTGTTTACTTGTGGTACACAAATGTCAACCCCAGGACGGCGCAATCTTGTATTCTATCATTCTTGGTACGGACCATGATTCAATAATATGCGCGTTCCTTATCTCCCAGAAATAGTCAGAAAAAGTCCGAAGTAGTCAGATTTAGTCCAAAAAGCGTTCCTTAACTCGGAAATGACAGCAAAAATGAGAGAGCAACAGTCAGTGAGAGCGACTCTCATCAGTCCGAAGTAGTCAGATTTAGTCAGAAGGATTTTTTCTGGCAAAATCCTGAAAAGTGTCAAACTCAACTGAATTTAAATTAACGGAAATTAAAGAATACGCAAAAAGTGAGAATAATCTAAAAAGTAAAAAAGTGAATTCAAATTGGAAGGAGGCAAAAAATAATTGATATAGTAAGTGTTTATTGTGCTTGTGCTTGTGTGAATGTGTTTTGTACATACATTTCCATTCTTATTTGACGTTAGCTTTGTTGTTGCCATTCTTTGGACTAAAAATTTGGTTTTTTGCGTTCCTTTACTTTTCCTGTTACTCTCTTTTAGTGAGCGCATTTTGCTTACGCTCTGGCATTTTGACACTTTTCAGATTTTAGTCCAAAAAGATAAGGAATGAACCTAATACAAGGTTAGATAATTATTGACAGCGGCGGTTTGACACTCCCTTACAAAAGGTTGCATTTACGAAGGACGGAGAAAAGGGGAGGAATGAAATCTCTTGGTGCGTAAATGGTAGTAGAAAAGTACGCAAAGTAGGCAATTAGTAGTGAGATTCCTTTTGTAAATTCTAATGTATTTGCAGGAAATCTGGCATTTAATAGAAATGTTGAACGTAATATTGATGTATCTATGTGAATTACGTAATTTATGTGCTGTTTAGGTGTATGAAAACTGCAAAACGACTCAAAATTAAAATAAGAATACTATGGGATTGATGTAAACATCCGATTTGAAATCAATTCATGTTTTCATCAGTTAAATGTGCTTCATATGCCAATACAAATAAACATATTGCACAAACGCTCATACTTCTATTTCATACCAAAGCTACACTGTTTCCATGTGAATGTGCAAAGAAGCAACACGGTGCCACTGCTAAGGGAGCGGTGCGAGAGAGACAACTGTCAGTTTATCGAACCTTGTATTATTGAATCATGGGTTATACCTTGCTATGTTTTTATCATGGTACGGACCATCATATTTTGATTTTCAGTATTAAAGGGCAGTGTTTAAGCATTCATATCCTCCCACACAGACAGATATATTGCATCAATTTATTGTTTTACAGAGGTTCAAAAATGACCAAAAACGCGTTTTTCGGCAGCTTTTAACCTAAGTCCAATATCTTGGAAGGTCAGATTCGCATTCGGATAAGAGTCCGCTGAAATGTCTTGGGCCACACAACATTCTGCCTTATCCTGAAAAAAAATTCACCCGAAAATTTGCCATCCGCCCATAGTAAAACCATGGAAACCAAAAGTGAAAAGTTTACCGGTTCGGTGAAAATGAAACTCATAAGGCTGATTAAAAAAATTTTTTGGCCTGTGTTATCAGAGCAAATTTTAATGGAGCATCGGAAGGAATACTTTGTGAAGAGAGGGACTGTTTCTGGCAGTGATGCCGCAGCATTGCGTTTACGAACTGATCCATAATTTAGAATACGAGTTTAAATAAGCGTAACTCAATTTCAGTAGGTAAATAGATCAGAGCCCTTAGAAGCTGCTCAAATGACAAATTACAGGAAATAGAGGTGCAAAACTATCCATGGTACTATCGATTGTTTTAATTTTCCTCCACTATCGATGGCTCTAAACAACTATCGATAGTTACTTTACATAGTTAATTCTATTTAATATCCTTTCTCTAATTTCTCACTAAAATATTATTTTTGTAAGACTACAACATTTTATGCAATTTAAGGGGTTTATCGGTATTGTGCCGTTTGTTGTTTGTGGAGGTGGTAGGGGTTTCTATGTTTAAAACAAAACAAATCGCTGATACACTGATCTAAGTAACTTTATTTATACGTGCATTAGGGTGGTCCAAAAGTGCACGTGGACTCAGTAAAGTCCGAGTTTTAATGCTCTCACGCCCTCGGATTGTTATATAACGAAAAAATGTACCACTGCTTTTTTTATTTCGAAACCAAAAAATACTAGAGGTCGCTCAAAGTGTTTAAATGTTTCAAGTATTTTATATGGGAAAAAGAAGTTTTCATGGAAATGGTATAAAGCTCTTTAAAATCAATATTTTTCGATCGAAAAATTCTGTTTTTCTGCAGGAGACTTCCAATATTATTACCCGAATGTTTATTTTAACTCTTTAATACTAAAGATTTTTTAAGGTTACGGCAATGCATTTTTTTGGGTTTGTTATATTAAAAATGGTTAAATAAACAATTGGGTATTATTATTGAAAGTCTCCTGAGGCGTAGCAGAGTTTTCCGATCGAAAATATTGGTTTTGAAGAATTCTATACTCTTTCTAAAAAAAATTGAGTCTTGATTTTTTGATTTTTAAATAAAAAACGGGTATATTTTTTGGATATAGAATTCCAACTTTACTTTTTTTGTACCACCCTATTGTACATACAGTCACTCACATCAGTATCAGCATTCTCTATTTTTTCACAATATTCAAAATTCTTTCCATTATAAACATGTTCTTAAAATTAAAATATAAAGCTCTTGCACGGCGCACGGATTGCACGGTAAAAACCTTTGCACGCCTTGCAACCCGTGAATACCCCCATAGTTTTTGTAGTAGAATGAGCTACGTATATTATAAATATTAATTACCGATAAAGGTTTTTCAATGGAAAACATTTTGAATATTGTGAAAAAATAAATATCGAATACTTCGAAGTGTTTAACAGGCGGACTTTATTCTATTTAGGTACTCTAATCAGACAAGAAATTATAAATCTAATACAATGTTCTGACCGACAACGAAAACACCTTGAAAACGAGTTTTGGGATTGTGGGCTGAATGCTGTTCACACCGACTGTTGGTGTTTTCGTTGACATTTCTAACATCCTTTGTTTACAGTTTTGCTGCACAAATACAAAACCAAAATACTTTTCCTTTAATTTCTTTTCATTAACAACCTTTTACTTCCATGCTTATTTTATTTTGGTCAGCCAATTAAAAATAAATCCGAAATGGCGTATTAAAGATGATAAAATATGTCTTCCACTTCGATAAATAATCGAAAAAAAACTAGTACAGACACCGATTGGAATGAGTGGAACGTGAGTTTTCAAGTGGTTTTCAGCGAAAACTTGTTTTCGTTTGACAGATTTTACATTAACGAAAACACAAGTTTTAGGTCGAAAACCAGTTTTAGCAACGAAAACATGTTTTCGATCTGTCAACCTAAATTTTGTGGTTTTGGTTTTAAGCAGGGATCACACGATTTGTACATTTGTATATATTATATTTGTACATTTTAACCGTTACAGAGTGGTGTTGTTTGGAAAGTTGTTATTGAGCTAAATTCATTCTCGATAAAAATTTCTAGACAACACCACTCTGTGATTGCCAAATGTACAAATGGTTTGATTTCTGCTTTAGTTTGTGCTAGAATTTTATTATACTGAACTGCGGATGTGCTTAACGTAAATAAAAAGTGTGAAGTGTAATTATTTTGGCAATGGAAAAAGACCTAACCTAAATACCTATGTATTATTGACTGTAACAATTGTGGTTTTAAATAACCTTTGTGTTTTTCAAAAATCC